CCTCGGGTATGAAATGCAGACAATTCCTCTGCACCTTGTCAAGGAAGAGCAGATGGGGAAGGAGCTTTGGAAAGTAACTTAAAGAAGAAGAGCCGCTTCCCGCGGCCGAGGCTGGCTCCGGAGAGGCCCTGCTAAGCCTCCAGGGGTCCTCTATGGCGGAAAGCACCACCTCAACTTTACAGGAAGCCGATGCTGCCATGACACTAAGGCGCTTGCCCTCTGGGCCATGCTCACAATCAGGAACTTGCTCATGTCTCTTAGGTCTGGACCAAAGCTCAGGACAGAGCCAAGTCCCTGGACCAACGGAGAGTGGATGTGTCCCTCACTGCTCATCAGGCTGGGGTCAGTGGGGGTTCCGGGGGAACCCTGGCACTCTTCTCTAAATGCATCCTCAGCTCAACCGCCCACCTGACTGCAAGAAAAGGGGGCCTGGCAGAGGTAGGGCCTCTGAGATGAAGGATCTAGACTGAACTCCCCCAGAACACCTGTGGCCTCTGCTTCCTCTCTTCCTTTCCTACTGAAGAAGCCCCAGAAACTCCCAGAACTTGCTCAAGGGCGTCCAAACATCTTGGGCTTTCAAAGCACCCCAGGGTCTCTACCCCTCCACATACCCAACAGCCCCATTCTCTCCTCCAAGATGGCGGGGGAGACAGCAGCCTGGTAGACAGGGCATGGCACGGCAGGGGCCCAGGCCCCTCCAAGAGGGCAGGCTCTGTCTGTTCCCTCCATCCACTGCTGCGTCCACCATGCACATGGGAGGGATGCGCACACAGTAGGTGCTTCATAAATAGAGAGAAAGGAAGATGGAAATCTGATTTGTCTTCTTCCCTCCGCAGACCAGCAGTCAAGAGAGGGACAGACTCTACCCACGTGTTTCAGGCAATCGGACCAGAGGCCCAAGGGCCAGCACAGTCAGATATGGGCACCGCAGACCCACAGGCCTGGCCTGCAGGCCCACCACTCCCTCGTTTCCGACTCGCAGGCCTGACACGGACCACAGGTCCGAGCCCCCTGAACTGTCTCTGAACCTCAGCCCAGCTCTGGGGGCTCCAGAGCAAGGGCACAAGGTGACAACAGATCCTGGGAACGTGTGGGAAGAGAAGCCTCCGCAGGAAAGAGCAGGAGGGAGGGAAGGGGTCAGAAAGGAAAGGAGGGGAAAGGAGGGGGGGTGATAGGAGGGAGGGTCCTGCTCGCCCTGCAGCACTTGGGGTCCCCAGGCCCGGCCCAGCACCCCCTTTCCAGATGCAGCTTTTGAGCCCCCTGAGCTAGGACTGAGCACTCAGAGAACATGACAGTCCAGGGCGAGACAGATACAAACCAAGGACCCCCCCCCCCCAAAGCCTTTCCCAACCTTGGGAAAAGCTCAGAAGCTGCAGGGGGTTGGAGGGCCACCTCTTGAGGTGAGGGACAGAGGGGCACATATAAACAGACTTTCCTGGAATTGCGGAGGCCCAGGGGAGCCCCACTTGGGGAGCAGGGGGAGGGTGAAGAGATGGCAGTGGAAGTGGCACGATGAAGGGGGCGAGGGGAGGGGAGTCAGAGTGGTGACCCCACAAGGGCTCAGTGGTGACCCCACAAAGGCTCAGGGTACGGATCTGGGTCCAGGACCACAGGGAGGAAACTGCTCCAGCTGGGCTCCGGGCCGGCTGTCTGGAGCCAGTGACGGAGGGTGGGAGAGGAGCAGTTCTGGCAGCAGCCTCTGCCCCCATCTCCCCACCCAAGGTCAAGGGGAGTCAGCAGGCAGGGATGAGGGAACTGCCCTTAGTGCCCCCTGGTGGGCCTGGAAGATGCCCTCTCAGAAGTGCGTGGAAGGGGGATGTGGGGAAGGGGGCAGTGGACCCTGGTCAAAGGAACTGGGTCTGTAGCCCCACCCTAAGCTGCCCATCATGGTGCCAGGGGCTGCCCTAGTAGCCAGGGAGGGCACTCGAGGACGTGGCGTGGCGCCCAGGCACTAGGGGTGGAGGGTGCAGGGGCGATGAGGACGGTGGGGGTTCGTGAGCCCCCGTGGTTCACACCTACAGGGGATGATCTCCTCTGTTCCTCTTCCTCCCCCAACTGCAGCCCAACTGCAGAACTGTCCACGCTCTGTGAGTCCCGCCCTGTCGCCCACCGGCACCTCCTCACTCTGGCTCAGGCTGGATGTGGAGGCAGCAAGGGGTCAGGAGCAGTCTGGGCTCCCCCCCAGCCCGGGACCTGGAGCCTGAGCTGAAAGTTTGTACTGAAGGGTGGACAGGAGCTTCGCAGTGCTTGGGCTTGAGGGGAGACCCTGATCCAGGGGTGGCCAGGCAGTGTGGCCTGGCCTGAGGAAGGAGGGCGCGAGGAGCAGCCCAGACTCCAGGGCCAGACCCCTTCCCACGGGCCAGGCCCCAGGACCCACACCCAGGTGTGCACAGCACCCTAACCCCAGGCTGCGCCTGACGCGCTGGGCAAGCCCCAGACCTTGAGTGGGGAGGATCGCTGCTGTCTGCTGGGGCCCCCTGAGCGCTCCAGCCCCCAGGACATCCTCACACGGCTTGTCAGACCCCATCACACACAGCACAGACGCAAGCAGCTTCCTCCCTCGTCTCCCACAGGCGCGCACGCGCGTGCACACAAACACACGCACACACACACACCTGCCCCCAGAACACAGACTCCCGGGGTCAGCACAGAGCTCAGGGGTCCCCCCACACACCAATCTCATCCCCGGCCCTGGAGCCCCCAGGTCCCTGAAGGGGGAGAAAGACACAGCGGAGCAGTCCACCGGGCCTCAGCCCATCATCACCCCCACCTCTGGCATCATCAGCTCCCCCAAGAGGCCTGCCCACCCCCTGCCGAGGCCTCTTGCCCCCCACGTCCCACACACACACCACCCGGCAGACAATTAAAATCCAATCATCATAAACACTCATTATATAACCAGCCTGAGCCAGCGAAGGGTTCCTTGTACCCCCTGGAGTGCCAGCTCCTCTGACCCCAACCCAGCCTCAAGCAGGGAGGCCTCGGGCACCCCCTCAAGAGCTGACCGGGAGGCAGTCGCCACCACCCACCGGGCCTCCAGGAAAGTTGAGCGTTGCCGGGGATTCCCCCTCCAAGCCCGGGCTGCACTCTCCCTGCCGACTCTCCAGCTCAGCAGTTCTGGTGCACCTGGCCGCAGAGCCGCAGCCTGGCCGGCAGCGGGACAGACAGACAGACACCCTGGGCCCTCGCCGGCAGCCTGACTTGTTGAATAAATTTCTGCAGCGCTGGCTCAGCCGGCTTCAGCTTGGCATGGAGAGAACTTTCGTGGCCTTGAAGAAGGGACCGGTCAAAGTTTCCTGTCCTTCCTCCCAAGGCACCTGCCCCGAGGCACGGGATGGGGTGCCGAGCTGATGGGCAGCGCAGGTGGGGGGAACCGAGCCCCAGAAATAAATAAATCAGCGTCTCGGGAAAGAAAGAACCCGGCGCGCCAAGAAACTGGCAGCGGAGCAGAGCCCTCCCCGCCTCCCCTTCCCCCACCCCTGCCCCGACCTACCTTGGCATGGACTTGGCCGGGCAGCGGGGGGTCGTCCAGCTTGGAGACAAGGGGGGACGCGTCCCCCGCCCCGAGGCCGGAAATCGAGCGGGATCCCCCAGCCCCGCCAGCCGCCCCCGCCAATTCAGGATCAGCTGCGCCCCCGGGGCGCGAGGCGCGGCGGGCGGTGGGCGGCGGGCCCCGGGGCCCGGGCCATGGCGCGAGAAGCCCGGGGGCCGGCGGGCAGGTCGGGGCTCCGCGGGCGGCGAGGAGCCGGCGGCGCGGACGAGCCGCGGACGGAGCCGGAGTTGGGCGCGCGGCGGGCGGGCGGGCGCGCGGCGCTCCGGGCCGGGGCCGGGCCGGGGGCGGGGGCGGGAGCGCTGCGGGCGCCGGGCGGCGGGCAAGTGCCCGGCGGGGACCGCGCGGCGGCCGGGCGGGGGCGCGGGGTCGGGCCGCGGCCCTCGCGGGGCTCAGCTCGCTCGCGCCTCCGGCCCCGGCTCCAGGCGCGGGGTCTGCGCGCGGCGGGGGCTGCGGAGGAGCCGGAGCGCCGGGCGGTGCGGGGACGTGCGGCGGCGGCGAGACCGAGGAGCGCCGCGCGAGGCAAAGCCGTCCTTATACTGACACCAAATGTCTTCGGGGAAAGCTGCAGGCGCGGGACGCCGGGGGGAGGCGTGGAGGCGACAGACAGACTGACGGCGGCGGCCGGTGAGCCCCCGCCCTCCCCGGCGGGCAGGAAGCCCCTGCCTGGCCGCCCCCTCCTCAAAAACCAGGGTCGTGCCTGTACCCCCCAACCTGGGGGCTGCGTCATGCGTAAAAGGGAGGGACCCCATGGCTGACCACCCCCAAGTCTCGGGTGCCTATTTGACCACACTGCACCCTGGGTTCTCACTGAGATGCTGTGATTGGGGTGTCTCCCCCACCGCTGGGGCGGGGCTGCTGCCAGCTCTTGAACGCTGGAGCTGAACTGGAATTCCCCCCCTAGGTCACTCCACCACCCCGGCAACCTCCACACTTCTCTTCCACACCCCTGCCTCATTCCAACCCTCAAAAAAAAAGCCACTTCCTCCCGGCAGGCTTCCAAGAAAGCGCCCAGGTAGAACAGAGACCTCTTTCTCCAGCTGCAAATGCCCCCAGCCTCTCCACTTCCGCCCAGCAGCCTGGGTCACAGGCCCCATAGAGGTCAGCCCCCCCTAGAAATCTGGAGGTCTCTTGGGCCCCTGCGGAGTCATTTCCCCCAGTTCCCCTTGACCTTTCCCCTTCTTGCTCCCCCCTCTGGATGCCAAGGAGGTGACCAAGGTCATTACCCCTGTTATTTATTTGTATCCAAAAAATTAAACCACAAAGACTCCCAAATGCAGGTCCAATGGGCTGCTCATGCCCCCTCAACTCAGGCAGTATTAGGGGGACCTGCCAGGTGCCAGACACCTCTCTAAATCTCCTAGAGCTCCACCCCTTCATCCCCACTTTACTGAAGAAACTGAGAGGCCAGGTCAAGGTCACCGAGCAGGGAAGCCCTGCCCTGGAGGTGAGTCTAGCCTTCCCCAATCCCTGCCCAGGTGTCCGCTCTGCCGGAGGACACTCACCTCAGCTGTCTGCACCCCGCTGCATCTCCCCGCAGAATGTCGGACGGGGAGGCGAGGCACCCTAGACTGGAGCTGAGCTGGGTGACACTGAGGCCCACCCTGGAGGCCCCTGGTCTACCAGATGACCAGAGCGTTGGTGGAAGATACTCTCAAGCTTGATCCCAGCCTTGTTGCTGCCTGACTGCAGCCTCGGGAAGTCCCTTAGTCTCAGCTTCAGGTTCCTCATCTGTAAAATGGGGATAAAAGTTATTGCTTGCAGAATGAGAGCAGTCTAAAAACAGTTTAGCACCATGCAGGGCACACAGTAGGGGCTCAACAAACATTCATCCCTTCCTACCTGTTCATCTGTCCAGGAAGACAAGATAAACCTTCACCACAGGACCACAGCGCAAGGTCAAGTGCGCACCCGCGAGGCCAGGCGGGGTCTCAGAGGTAGGGACTGAGCTGTAGGTGTCCATGGTGGGATGGGTTTATTTCAGAGCAGAGCAGACTTCAGGTGGGGAATCTTCAGGGGAGAGAGACCCCATCAACCGTGAGAGGCTTGTACAGGACTGAAACAAGGAGAGGAAGTCACTAAGAAATGCCATTGGGGGAGACATGCAAAGGGCTGGAGTAGGAATAAGGTGGCATAGGCAGGCACTCCACGCCCTCACCTGGGCAGTCCCGGCCTGGGAGAGTGGAAGAAATCCGGCAGCTTGGCGGGGAGAAGATGCCAGCCATAGCTCACTTGCTCTCCATTCTCTGGCCACATTTCTGTGACGCTCAGACTGGGCAGGATCTTGAGAAGCTGAAAGGGGCCTGGTCCTTTCAACTCAGCCTCGGGAATGGCCGCCCAGCCCCTGCCTGCACACCTCGGGTGACGCGGCTCTCACCACCTCCTCAGGTGGTTCCTTTGCTCTCTGGGCCGCTCTGGTCACTCTAAGTTCTTCTTTATATTTAAGGAAAAATTCCCCTCCCCTTCATAATCCTCTGTCCAGGCGGGACTAACCCTCTGCCAGCCTCCCCCAAGCATCCACAGGGGCAGGAAGTCCTGCACTATGTCTAGCCCAAATGCCTTACGCTTCAGCTAAAGCCTTTGCTGTGCAATCACTGTTCTCCACCCAGAGCATAGGGGTGAACTCTGTGGAACAGAGGATACATCTAGACCAAAATGGGGATGAGAAAGAAATGGGGATGAGGGACACCCCTCAAACCTGCTGAAGGGAAGGGATTGCAACTCTAGGCCTCAACAAAAAGCAAGGCTGCAGCAGTCCCTCCTGGAGGCCCTCCCTGGCTGCAGGAGCTTCATTTATTCATTATTGCTATTTATATTGTGCCTGGTATTTGCAGAAGGCTGCGGCAGCCGCACACACTCATTAGGCCCTGCCATGCCCTGGGAGCAGGGGCCTGCCAGGAGGTGGGTGAGATGGGCCCTGGCCTGGAGTCCCCTCGCTCGCCCACCTGACAGCTGGCCAGCCTCCCTCCCCTCTCCGCCAGGACGAGACACCCCCAGGCCCTCTCTCACTCACTACCCCAGCAGCTGCCAGGCAGAGCCACCCAGGCTCACCTCTGTCCCCAGGAGAACTTTCTAGTGATTATAGGGACCAGAAGGCTAGGGAACATCTGTTAATGGGACAAGTGACTGGGCTGAAAGGAGCCAGGGCAGCATTCCTGCCCCAGGACACAAACACAGGTCCCTCCCAGCCCTGATGATGCTAGGAGCAGACACAAATTTCCAATATTCTCAGACTCCACACCAATTTCTTTCTCAAACACTTACAGAGCATTTATGGGCATCAGGCCCTGTTCTAAGCCCTTGACAAATATTAGCGCATTTAATTCTTTCCGCAATCCTGTATATCAGCTTTACTGTTTTACAGATGAGGAGCCATTAGCAGAGAGACGTCAGGCAACTTGCTCCGAGTCACACAGCCTTTACATGGCCATGCTGGAGTTTGCCAGGCTCCGGAGTTTGTGCCTAAACTACGATTCTGAATTCTAAGATCCAAAAGCTCAAAGCGTCAAAGTTTCCAGGATTCCAAAGTGGCCCAAATACACGCCATTGGGTGCCCCCCAGCGCAGGGAAGGGGACTGCTCTCAGCCCCGAGCAGCACCCTGAACCAGGTCCTGGGTTCACAGCCCTCTGTGATAGGAGGTAGGAGTGGGAGAAGGCAAACGGTGGAGAACAATTTTCAACGTTCCAGAGCGTGCAGTAAGCATCTGTGGGTACAGACCAGTGCCAGGGCTGGGGAGTGCTAGGACGTGGAAAGATCTGGAAGTGCCAAATGGAGGTGAAAAAGAAGGGATTTGGTGTCAGACACAGGAGAGTGGGCCAGGTGCTGGACCCCAGCAGGCACTTGATGGGTTTGGAGAGGCCAGAGCGGACCCAGAGCCCAGTATGGAGGGTCGAGTCTGGATTGGTAAAAGGAGAAGAACCAGGAGTTCCAGAGAGAAAGGGGCAGAGAGCGGAGCGAGAGAAGATGCAAGATGGAGGAGGCGGGGTCGGGGTCGCCCCAGGTGAGCCCTGGAGAGGGGCCAGAGGACTCCCGGTGAGTCTTCTGCGTGAATGCACTTGGGGTGTCCCCTCCCCGCCCCAGCCCCCAGGAAGTCAGGAGTCGTGTGGAGGGGGTTTCAGTGTGGGGAGGCCGAGAAAGGAGCTGGAGTCCCCCGTGGAGCTGTGTGGACGGGACCAGCCCCGCAGGCCCGCCCGGCCCCCAACTGGACCGAGGCAGCAGCAGGAGGCTGAGTGGGGGGCCCAGAGGACCGTGGTACCCCCCACCCCAGGGTGGCTGCAGCCAGAAATCCCCCCAGGCAGGAGGGGCGGGCGCAGGCTCTTACCCAGGGAGGAGCGGGGCGCCCCCTCCCCTGCGGGCGTCCACTGGCCGGTCAGCCCACTTGACCCCGCGGCGGCCTCGGCGCGAGGGAGCACGAAGTTCATTTCACAGACGGGAGACCCGGAAGCCAGAGAACCCCGTGCCCTGGCCGGGCCGCGCCCGCCGCGCAGGAGCAGCAGGAAGAGCGTGGCTGCGTGCGTGCGTGGCTGCGTGCGTGCCTGTGTGCGTGGCTGTGTGCGTGCGTGCCTGTGTGCGTGCCTGTGTGCGTGCCTGTGTGCGTGCCTGCCTGCGTGCCTGCGTGCCTGTCTGCGTGCCTGCCTGCCTGCCTGCGTGCCTGCCTGCGTGCCTGCCTGCGTGCCTGCCTGCGTGCCTGCCTGCGTGCCTGTGTGCGTGCCTGCCTGCGTACCTGCCTGCGTGCCTGCCTGCGTGCCTGCGTGCCTGCCTGCGTGCCTGCCTGCGTGCCTGCCTGCGTGCCTGCCTGCGTGCGGCGGGGGGTCCTTCACCTGCCCAGGAAGGAGGCAGAGACTGAGAGCGAGAAGGGACCGTTCTCGGGCGCAGGCGCCTGCCGGGTGGGCGCACCCTGACTCTCAGCCGGAAGTGGCCGCTGACGCCCCAGAAGCGCCGGGAGGGGCTGAAGGACCCGGCTGGGCCCACCCGCCCGAGACTGGCAAGGAGGGCGCGGCGGGGAGGGGTCATTCCACCCTGAGAGTTGGAGGGGCCGAAGGTGGGGGGCTGCCGGGACCCCCACCCGGGGCCCCCCCCACCCCGCCCTCCCGCACGGGCACCTGGCAGCAGGCACCTGGGCGCCCGCCTGGCCTCCGCGCGGGCCGAGCGCGGCGCCTGACCGCAGTGTGCTGGGCGGCCACTTCAGGCCCGCTCCTCCTGAGGAGGACCCTGAGGCCACAAGAGCGGGGCGTACCCGGTGACCGTCACTGACCGCCGGCCGGGGGCCAAGGGTTGGAGAGACGGACAGAACCCAGCCGGCGCGGAGGCCCCCGTGACTGGAGACCTGGGGCCCCCGAGAGGGAACTGACTTTTCTGGAGCAGGAGGGTCAAGGCGGGCACAGAGGGACAGAGTGAAGACTTGGGTGGGCAGTGGACAGCCGGAGCTTCCCTGGCAGAGCAGGGGGAAGGCCGTCCTGGGTGCCGGTGAAGGCGGGAGCAGAGGCCTGCGGGTGAAGGGAAAAGGTTGTGGGGACAACAGGAAGTCCCCGGAGGCTGGGCATGGTGGGCTGGGCACAGCCAGGCTGGGTTTGTTGGGTTCTACCCTGGTCCGAGGCCAGACAAGGGCCAGCCTCAGAGCAATGGCGAGGCCTGAGCTGGCCCATCCATATGGCCACAGGAGGGACGGGGCGGATCGAGGGCTGTTTACAGGCAGGGCCGGACTTGGACAGTTAAGGAGGGTGGGTGGGGGGCACGGGGGGCCGCCTCGGGATGGACGGCGGGGCCTGGGCAGGCAGGAGCTGTGCTGGAGCAATCAGAGAGAGAAGAAAGTACAAGATGAAGAAAGGTGGCGGGAGTGGGGGGGGGGGCTGCAGAATGAAGAGGAAAAAAGGAAATCAACACGGGGAGGCACTCTCTGCTCCCTGCTTTCTGCTCTTTGGTTCTCGGCCTCTGTGTGGTGGGGGCCCGGGGCTGCCTTTTCCCTCTTCCGTCTGTCTGACACCCTCTCGGGCTGTTGCTCCATCTTCTCCTTTCTCTGGCTCCATCTTCCCTCACGCGCCCTCTGCTCTGTCTGCCTCTGCATCTCCCCGGCTCCCTAGCCCTGCATGTCTGCTGCCTTCCTGGCCCTTTCTTCCTCTGTTTCGCTCTCCCTGTCTCTGCCTGTGTGGAAGTCTCCACGCACGTGTGCTTTTGCTCTCTTTCTCTCTCTGCCGCTCCCGCTGCTGAGAGAAAGAATAATAGAGCAGGCAACTCTTCCTTTTATCCTCAGCTGGACAAAGACTGGTGCCCCAGCAGTCAGGCCTCCAGGAAGCCACCTTCAATGTCACCATCAAGGAGAGGCATTTGGGGGTGGTGCCAGTGGGTGTGGGAGCCCTCGCTGGAGAGGCTGCCCCACGTTGGCCTCAGCCCCTGCCCTGTAGCCTTTGACCCCTGGAGGCTTTGCCCAGAGACAGGGAGGGCCGCCCCTCCTCTTCCCAGAGAGCCTGAAATTCTACCTCCAGGACTACAGTCCTCTGTTAAGTGCTGATCTTTGTTAAAGCTGCAACCCCCTGGGAAGGATCATGGAACTTAGCCCTCCACCCGGAGGGCAGCTCTGTGCCTGCAGCCGCTTTGATTTTGGAAGATCATCCCAGGCCTGCCCTCTGGCCAGAATCAAATGTCTCCACCCGGGCAGTGTCTTTGTGCCCTCAGCCCAGCTGGGGTGTCTCCTCCAGAATCACATCAGGTCCAGCAAGGGACCCTCACGCCAGGTTTCCTCCCGTTTTCATGGCCACCTGCCTTCCCCGCCCCATCCAGAGAGGGAACCCAGCAGAGAAGGGCAGAGGGGGGCAGTACAGATGCTGGCAGATACTGAACGAAGGGCTGGACGAATGCTTGTCACCCGGGAGGGCGTGACGGGACCGGGCAGTTCCATGAGGGACCAAGCAGAGTCCATGTCCTCGTGGGGGGTGTGTACACTGCACTTGGTGAATCGGAAAATACAGCAGCTAAGTAAGCGCATGTGCACAGCAGACATCAGATGGCGGGCGCTGCCAGCGGAAAATCAGCCCCGGAGAAGGATGGGGAGCGGGCGGCGGGTGTTCACTTTAAATGACTGGTCAGGGACTGATCTAAGTCAAATCCTATAAGATCACCCTGGCTGCTGTGCCAAGAGAATTCTGGGAGGGGATATGGTTCATCCATCCCCAGCCACCCTGGGGCCGGAACACTGATGCTTTCTATGAGGGCTCCTTGGTCCCTGAGGCAAACAGCCTTCGACATCGGGATCCACCTCCCAGCTGAGGGCCCAGACTTTTCTTCTGGGTGCGCAGCCTGGGACTCTAATGGCACCCTTGCCCCTCAGATCCCACCTCACCCTTCCTCTCCACCTGGCACCTTTCACCCTCTTATACCATCCCCATGGTGGGCACTCACACACACACATTTCACAGCAGTCCTTTCTCCAGGGGATACAGACCACGTGGGGTGATTGAGAGACCCCCGGGGGTGGAGGAGGCAGGTGCACATCCCAAGGGAGATCTGGGGCAGCTTCCTGCAGAGGCTGATGTTCAGGGGGTGCCTTGAAGATGGACATGGTCATCCACAGATTAAGATGGGGGAACACTTCCAAGAGAGGGACCCAGTCCCCGGTTCTGTTTGGATGCCGGTGTCAATTATATATACACTGTTGGGGGAGCAGCGTGAGCCAACACACTCAGGCAGAAAAGCACAAACATGGAGAGCCCTGGGTGCCAGTGCTCCGCGTGTCCTCACCCCCAGCCATCCACACCTGCACACCGTGGATTCCCTCCCCGCCTCAGCCTGGCGAGGCAGGCAGGGTCATCATGTCCCCTGGCAAGTGCAGAAGTAAGGACCAGAGGGCTTCCCTGGTGGTGCAAGGGATTAAGATGCAACTATCCGCAGCCACTGCAGCACGAGTTTGATCCCCGGCCCGCCAGGGAGCTACCCACATGGCGCAGCAGACCTCTCCTGACTCGCCCGCTGTTCCTCTCAGCAGTGTATTTCAGTCAATCCGCCTGTTCTGCTCCCCACTCTGGTGAATCCTCTCACCCCCCACCTCTGGTCTGTACCCCAGTTCTTGTATGCATAAATATTCTTTAAAAAAAGAAAAACCAGAGAGGCCAAGGCCACACGTAGACAGTGGCGGGTCCGACACCACACCTGGTGCACTCTCTGGTGCGGGCTCTCACCTGGAGCCTGGAGCTATCCTCTGCAAGAACCTGGGATCCCCTGCACCTCAAATCTCCCAAGGAAACTGCAGGAGGGGCTCTCCACTGCTTACCCCAGAGCATTCACTTCCAGGGCACAAAGACGCACAGAGACAGACGCACGATCTCACCTTCCGTGTGTACAAACACACAGGCACAGACACCACAGACACCCTCACACGTACACCCCAGCAGATAGCATTTTTATTAAATACACCCTCACACCAAGACACAAATTTACACAAATACATTCACACTCCCTCTCAAGTACACACAGACACTTGCATGTTATTATTAAGTTCACTCAAACACAAACACAGGCACAAAAATACCCTTTCCCAAATGTACTCGGGAAGGAGAAAAGATGAATTACAGCCAGAGAGAGACAGGAAAGAGAAAGGAAAAGGGGGGAAACCAAGGGCAAGAGAAAGGAAGAGGAGGGAGGGGGGTGAGCGTGGAGAAGAGCGGTGGGAGGAAGAGAGGAGCCGCAGGGGCAGGGCGAGATGGGGAGGAACAGATAAGGCGATAAGGAGGCAGTGAGGGGACAGAGCACGGAGAAGGGACGCGGAGAGGGAGGCTGTGATTGGAGCCTAACTTTAGCTGCAGCAGCCTGATGACTCACGCCTGGGGGGAGCGTTGAGTCGGCTCCGGGTTTCTGTTTATATACCTCGATGAGCTAAATATACAGGCTAAGGGGTTCTTCTGTTCTGGTCCAGCAGCTCCTCGGCGCTCTTCTCCCACCCTTGCTTCCCTCCCCTTCCCAACACACCACACACACACACACACACACACACACACACACACACACACACACACGCGCGCGCGCACACACGCCCCCTGTCTGCCCCTCCCTCCGCCCTGATTGTGCCCTCCTGCGGCCATCAGCTGCCCTGGCCCACAGCTCTCCCCACCAGGGTATTGGCTGCCAGGAGCTGGCCACGCCGTTTGGCTCCAAGCTCAGAAACCACACGGTCCAATCCGCCCCTTTCTGAGGCAGGTCAGGGGGTGGGGGAGTTTGCCCAAGGTCGCACAGCATGTGAGTAGACGACCCGCGCCAGAACCTCTGGGGGGCTGCCGGGACAGACACTCCCCAGGGGGGACAGGGCTGGGTGCCCGGGGGCCGGAGAGCGGAGCAGGGAGGGAGGGCACCCGCCAAGGCCAGCAGAGCAAGGCAGACCTGGAATCCTGTATGGTGGGGTGGGAA